CTATTTGCGGTGAGAAAATGTCTGAAGGCTTTTCAAAGTTCTATAAGTTTATAATCAAACCTGATACTCGGTCAGATCATTGTCTCAAATTTCACAAACGTGCATAAACTAAATAGCCCCATAAAGTACGCTCGACTTCATTAAATTAGATATAAATAACAGACATCAAATAAAATAATTACTCAGGCTTACCATTCGAGATGCACTGAAAACTATCAAGTAAGGCCAGAATCACTTCAGACTTTTCAACCCTCTTACGCATCAAGTAAGGTGAAAAACGAAAACGATACCATCCGAAATCGGATTTCCGACTTTGAGGAAGCGACGTATTTCTAGCTATTTCTCAACCAAAAACCCAATAAACAAACTAGCCATGAATAAGAGAAGACTCTTGATAGCAGCTGAATTTCATTTTGTACATTCAGTGGGAAAAGCAGTTAAAAACATCACAAGTTGACACAAAACTCTGTCAGCTTCAGCTGACAGAGTAAACAAGTTTCAAGATGCTGCATAAACTCATGAACTCACCTGTCAGGTTTTGACCAATCAGAGCATAAAAATTGGACGTACAGCGTGACCAACGCGTGACCTTGGTCAACTGGCATGTCTTCCCTGCCTGTAAAAACTGGCTGAATTTTAGCTTCTGAGGTCAGTTTGAAATCAAAATTTTAATTGTGCGGCACATATAAAACACAACATATTTCATATGAATTTAAAAAAAAATTAAGCATGAGCCTGCAATCATTTGAAAACTAGTAACTTGTCAGCGGATAACTTCAAAAAGATACTCGACCTCGATGGGTCGACACCTAAGCCCGCGATACGGTCAGGTGATACTGGTCAGTGAATACCCTGTTTTGACAGCTGTCAATTGATCACAACATTGATGTGCAATATGTGGGCAATATCAGTCTTCCTGTGCTCCCAAACTAGCTAGAATGTGTGAGATTTAACATTGGTTACCCTGTGGTGCGGACGGACGGGCGGGCAGCGGGCGGTGTACGGTCACGTGACTACCAAATTTTCTGGGATGGGTAGATTTACTTACCCATGGTGCTCCGCAGGCGCGCTTCGCGCGCCAGAGCTCCGCTATAATTAAAAAGGATAAGGGGTCGGACCTCGTGGCGAAGCCTCCCCTGGGGGATGCATTGGGGATGGGGCTAGTCCATCGCAGGGTTCCCCCCCTAGCAGTAAGTAACCGGTATCTATTTATCAAATCCTGGATGAAAAGAGACAAATAAAGTGGTTTCTAGTTAGTCTTGTCTAAGAAGACAACGCGTTGACAAGACTCGAACCCGGACCTACTGTTTGCGAAGTTGACGCGTGCAATCCGCCACCACGACTCCAACATTTAAACCAGAGAACACAATTTCCCCGTGGGCTCTCCTCTCTGTAAATTATTGGACTCAACTTTTGATTCTGTGGGTAATACTGTTACATGATACCAAGAGTGATGACCTTATTCTCTCTCAATGATACTGTTTGTGGTTTGACCTGCACAACAGGTGCAGGCAAAACGGCACCAAAACGGAGCAGGAGGATGGGAGAAATAAAGCCCTTTTCATCTCTTCCCAATTCCTCTTCCTTTCTCCTTTCCTCGCCTACCCCCTCCGAACGGCGGCTATTTTAAAACACGCAAACAAAACAAAAACAACAAACGGACGGACAGAGAGCGATTTGCTTCGTTTATCGAACGGATACAAACCCACGTGGCTTTTGGTTGGTTAAGAAAAAATTTCATGCCCGAGAACTTTCTAGATGATCAAATAATGCTTTGCTTCGAAGTTATACTGCAACGCGATTGGCCAATCGAACAATGCCTTCTCCGATCCATATAATGGTTTTCTTTGGCGGAAAAACGAAGAGTCCTTGTTTTGAACTTTTCATCCGTTGGTTTTGTGAAAACACGTTTTTCACTTAAACACCAGTGTGGAAACAGGTTTTGCCTTCACAAAAGGGTAAACTGATGGACGGGGAAAAACTCTAAAACTCTCTGGGAAAGGCCTTTTCCTGGGGGTGGAAACAGGTTTTGCCTTCACAAAAGGGTAAAGTGACGGACGGGGAAAAACTCTAAAACTCTCTGGGAAAGGCCTTTTCCTGGGGACACTTGCTGGCTGCGGGAAGGCACGGGATCACTTACGCCTGCTGAATACCCTTGAGACAATGATTACAACAGAACTTGGCTCCAATGTAGAGGTTTAATCCAAGACTATACTGCGGGTAGAGTCAGGAACATAACCAACCAAAATGTAACCAAGACTAGATGGACCTGGATGTAACCGAAGAAGCTTCTACAAAGCACTCGTATTTAAGCCTAAGCTAGCGAAGCGATACAGATTATATCACAACTCAACGAGTCTAATTACAGAGCACAAAAATCATTTCTACAAGACTATTGGTGGAAACCTAAGCTTGCTTTGAAACATTAATTACTTTCAAAAACTACACAGGTGGATAACGGCTTCTTACAGGTTGATTACACTCCGAAGACTAAATACAATTATGACTTGACCAATAAGTTTACGCTCAATAAATCAACAGGTTGTTTACGACTAAAAGAAGACTAAAGAATAAATGATTTCTACATTGGCTTTTCCTATTTTTATCAGCGAAAGCAAAATAACTGAATAACAATAAATTATCTCTTCACAGTTTATAAAACAAATAACAAACATTCACCGAAATCATTTTTTTCAAGGTCATACGAAAATCGCTATATTTCTCCTTTGTCTTGTTTTGTTTGTTTCTTTGTTTGTTCGTGTTTTGTGACCCCTGGAGCACCAAGAGCGTCTATGTGGGAAGCTAGAAGTTTAAGCTTTGATCGATTGTGCTCGCAAAGTAACATAAAAATATACTACTAGTAGTGCTCGGATATGTATAAAATTGTACCAATAATTATGCAAATTTTTTTGAAAAAATTATGTTCATTTTCGCAACATCTCTCCTGCCACCGCCATATTGGAAAACGAGAGGACCCTGGGGACGAGGTTGAAGCGCATGCATTCAGTCCGGTGGAAAGTGTCCTGGGTCCCCTCTTGTGGGTCCCCTGAAGTCCCATGAATGTGACAATAAGCAGACAAAAAAAATTGATTTTGCTACTTAAATTTGGCTGTAACACTGATCTCTCAATTTTGTGCTGCAAAACTAGCTAAAGGTAAAAATAATGCTACAACCAGTTGCAAAAGTACTTGAGATACTGTACCGTATTTTGGCATAAAATGGCCTGCCCATGATCTTGTGCTTGTGATCCCCCCTCCACCCCTTATCAAAGTTGCTAGCAATACAAGATCATACTCAAAACTTGGAGGAACAACTTTGAATGGAGGGGAGGAGGGAGGTCAGTATTATATCTCACAGACCTGTGACCAGGAGCGATTTGAAGCAAGAAAGGTTGTTTTTTCGTGGGAGTGTCTCAACATTTTGCAACTGGTTGTCTGAGTCCTTCATACTCCTATAGCCGTGGTGCACGATTATTAAACGGGGTAAAACGTGGTGCACTCTTAGCACCTAAGGAGGTGGTTATAAAAAACAGTATTTCATTTTCCTAGGTTTACGTGTTTAAAAATGGCGAGACAAAAACGACAGTTTTTGGCCTTTTTAATTATGTGGTAATATGCAAGAAATTGAGCTTTTAAAGGAAGCACGTGGCAAAAGATGCCACACCATCTTAAGTAAGCTGCAACGAAAATATATTTTCTTCGAACTCTTTTAAAAGACGTTTATTTATGAAAGGAAAATGACGTAAGATGCCCCGCTAGATCAAGGAGATAGCTTTTTGTTGTTGTTTCTGGTAAGTACGTGGACGTGGTTCCTCTTTTATCGCCTGCCATTTACGGGAAAGAAAAGTTACGCTAAAAAGCAGCTGTTGTCGACTTTACTTTACTTAACACAAGTTTGGATTTGTATTTACTCTTTGGTCGTCTTTCAACTTTGTTTCGATTTTGAAGCCAAAGTGTGGCTAGGCATGCGCGTATTTCAGTAACATAGTCGCGAGAGCTTTGTAGTTCTGTACTTGGTAAGGAAATATTTATTTCTTTGCAAAACGGAAGACACTGTCTCCAAGGAAAGCAATTTTCCAGCACAGCAATGTCAGGAATTTACGTGCTTCAACGGTCTGCACGGTCTACTATCGACCGTTGCCGCCGTTCGGTGAACGCGGTGGATTTTAAGGCCAGAGCTCAGTATAACAACCCTTCGCCCGCCGAAAAGGAATCCTTAATACGACTTTCAAAACGCAGAGACATTGTCATCAAAGCGGCCGATAAGGGTGGTGCTGTCGTGGTATAGTCATGCCCTCTATACATCACCGAAGCAAATAGTCAACTGTCCAATGGTAGGTTCTACGAACGCCTAGACCACGATCCTCTTAAGGAAAATCAGAACGTGGTTAAAACAACAATAACTGAAATGATTAGAGACAACAAGCTTCCACCATCAGCTAAAGGTTTAATTGTCCTTACACCTCAAACCTCGCGGTTCTACCTGCTTCCTAAGATCCACAAAGCAGGCAACAATGGCAGACTAATTGTTTCAGCGTGTTGTTGTCCCACCGAAAATATAGCTTCCTACTTGGATCAGATTGTGTGCCCCCTTGTGCGCAATCTTGGGACCTATGTAAAGGATACCAACCACGCCCTTCGAATCCTCAATGATTTCCATTTTGGCAACACAACGACTGGCGAACGCTTCCTCTACACCATGGACATAAAATCATTATATACTGTTATCCCCAACAACAGTGGCCTTGAAGCGTTAGCCTATTTCCTAAACAAGCGTCCAGTTCTCGACCCACGTACAAGCACACTCACCCGTCTTGCTGAACCGTGTGCTGACTCTCAATGCCTTTACCTTTAACGGAGATTTTTACCAGCAAATCAGAGGGGTCGCCATGGACAGTAAGATGGGCACAAACTATGTATGTCTTTTTGTTGGAGACGTTGAGGAGCGGATAGCAAGCCAGTAACACGGCTTTGTACCTCAAGTACACAAGAGGTACATCG